CAAATGGTCGTTAGGATGGGCATCGTCGGGACTCTTCAGTGTGCCATCAGCAACATCCAGCACTGCTCCTGTTTTGCTGATGTCATTGAGTAGGGATGTGGTGTCCGTCGTGCCAAACACAATGCCACTGGTGACACATGGCTCTTTCTCGTCCTCCGCAGTTTTCATGGTTTTCACGATAGACGCATCCACCCAGGACCACACACGGAGAAGCTCAATGTCATCCTGAAACGACTGAAGAATGCTGGCAGCACTCTCTCCTTTCGACACACACTCCTGAAGTTGGTGTAGTTGCTTCTCAAGAGGTTCCAGTTTCTGCAACCTCAGCTGATCGAGTTCGGCTAGAAGACACTCTTCTCGTTTCTTCACAGCCTCCATCAGTGGCTTGAAGAAACCTGAAACCTTCTCTGAAGCATACTCTGTTTGACTGTGTACCATTCGAATGTTCTTCTCCACGGTCTCTATGGCACTGCTGACAACACCATCACATTCTGATGTACAATTGCTCAGCTTAGTGGAAAGTGTGTCACGAGTGTTTTGTGCAGCACTGGCAATATCCATCACCTTGTGTTCATCATGTCTGTGTCCTCCAGTATGTATGCACTGTGTGCACAATAGCTGATTGCAATCCAAGCAAAACTGTTTCAGCACTTCATTGGTGTGTAGAGCACACCTATGCTGGACGACGCTGCCACTGCTGCTGCCACTGCTGCTGCCACTGCTTGTTGACTCAGTCTCTGTGATGGATGCTGCAGACAGTGGGTTGACGGTGTGGCCTCTACCTGATTTTGATCTCAGGTGACCAGTACCATGACACTCACAAAATTTCACATCACAAATCTCGCAAACCACGGTAGCCGCTCTGTCATCCCAGCACTCATTGCACGTTGGTGAAACAGGACTCCGCTGCAGTTGTCCAGTCGCTCCATTCACATCTTTTTCTTGGACCACATTTGGAAGAGATCGTAATGGATCCAAGCTAAAATTCACCTGCGTGCTGACCAAACATTGCGGACACTTTATGCAGCCATCAAATCCCAAGCTGTTCTGCAGGCACGGCACACACAATGCGTGCAAACACGAAACAAACTTTAGAGTGGTCGTGGACGACCCACAACCGCCACACTGCACTACGGAGGACATGGTCCCATCGAATGAAAAATTGACTAGAACTCGGAGCACTGTAGTCACTACGTGGACTGGAGTGGAGGGACGACTTTGAAAGTCTTTATGTAGAGTCCGGCATGGTGCAGGCCGAACAACTCTAGTCTAGGCAATCGTTCTGCTGTAGCGTAGATCTAGGTAGAGGCCTAGAACTAATTATTAATTATAAGTATTGTAGCTGGCGTGGCAGAAGTCGTCCGAGAATCTGATCGACAGATAAAACTCAGATGTCACGTGTCAGTGATCTGGCGATATGGACCTGCCACATGCACAGCCATGCATAGCCAGTGCAGTGTACTGACTGTGTAGACTGCACACCGCGTACCGCGGCACTCCCTGATTTTGAGTCACAGTGAGTGACAGTCGATGGCATTTTTCATTGGCACTGACAGCTGCTGATATTAGTGATAATAATATTTATCACTCCCTTAGTATTGACTCACATAGATTTTTGCCATACCTAAGCAGTCAAATATTCCTGCATATTTCACTCCTTAGGGCTATATTGACTGCTTATATTTGACTGCGGGGGGGGGGGGGGGGGGGGGTTGCGTAGTTGAACGGTGCCTACAGTGTAGTGCAGCATTGTCATTGCATGAGTAGGTGGTGGTGCAACGGTTGTGCAATCATAAAACCGGGATTCATGAGGTTATCGTTCTGGAATTTGAAATACGGACTGTTTGTCGTGATAAATCTAATATTGACTTCGTACTTTGTCCGTATAGGAAAGAAATAAAAACCTCGTAAAAGACCTCGGCTTTTATTTCCTATATTGACCTCTTACTCAGTCAATATTAGATACGTATAGAATAAACACCGATGTCGTAGTGTTTATGGGAATATAAACACTGCTATTTATAGACAGTGTTTATATTCCCATAAACACAAGACAGAGGTGTTTATTCTATTTATACTTAGCTTCGTTTTTGGCCTGAAATACTGGTCCGAAATAGCTATTTTAGTATCCCAGTATACTATAGTATACTATTATGTGTAGGTAGCATTGCGTGTTCCAGACCTAAGACCTATCTTTCAACCAACATCTGCGTTAACACCCTGATAGCTGGGTGGTCAAGATAGGTGCTTGGGAATCTTATGGTTGCAGGTTCGATTCCTGCTGAAACTTCTTTCTTCCCTTCAATTTTTTTCTTTTTCAATTAAATTGGAGGGAAAATTTCTAAGTCCCTTGAAAGTTGAAAAGTTACAACCTCTATAAAGTGGGTAATATAGCAAAGTATATACCCCAAGTTAAAGTGGTGAATATGGAGATATATTCACCAGTTATAGATCACAGGAATTAGTGGGGGTTAACCGAAGTAAAATACGCGTAGCATGCGTTTGAATTCACGGACAGATACTATGGACTTCATACAGTCGGGCAGGCCATTCCAGAGTCGGCAGCTGGCTGGAAGCGGTCGGCATGCGCCAGAAGCACTGTGGGCCAGGGGGAGGGGAAGGTTGCGTCCCAACTGACCTTAAGTGGACATGCCTGTCGGCGGGCCTTGCAATACAATTCGGGACGACAACAGCTCACTGACGATTCCAGAACGGATTCTAAATGTCAGGAGTCGGAGCTTGCATTCCCCCTCGTTCCAGCACTGGGCACACACCCAGCCTGGTGTACAGGGGAAGAGTGTGGGCCAATGGGTGACTGGCATGTCATAGTTATTTCGTGCCCCCTAACGAATATACCGAAAACGAAAATACTTACTGACTCGGAAATGCGCATTGCGCAACATGTAACAGCATCTCAAGAGTTCCCCCTTTTCTCTTTATTTCCGCAAGAAAAGTGACTCGGAAATGCGTAGCAGCTAGCATTGCACGATTTCCACCTTTTCTCTTTATTTCCGCAAGAAAAGTGACTCGGAACTTTCCACAACAGCATTGCACGAGTTCCCCCTTTTCTCTTTCATCTCCGCAAGAAAAATGAATCGGAAAATTCCACACCAGCATTGCACGTGTTCCCCAAAGCGACCGAATGTGTCCATGGCTCCTCATCCATTGAGCATTATCACGCCACATGATGGAGTTTATAGTGTAGCGCACCAACAAGTACTATGACCCCCAATCACACATGTATGTCTAGGCTTTGGCGGATAATTATAAAAAAATAAAATAAAAACTCGACGGGTTCGCGTACCGGGCAGGTCAAGAATAAGATAATTCTAATTATAAGTAGCTTTTAAAGTGTGCGATTTGGGATGAGCATAATGCCAGCATAATAACACTGCATTTTCCACTAAAGTAGCCACGATTGATTATACAAATGGAAGTGTTCCCGGTCTCTACAGTACATGGTGCAGTGCAGTGGTGTGCTCCTCGTTTTCCGAGGGAAAGCAGACACACTTGCCCTACCACTCAAGCGATAAGGCCGAAGCTTCTTCAAGACTACAAGACTTGTGACGTTCTTTCCTGACCGCACCTCTCGGTTGGGGATGTGCGTTGAAGCACACCATACTAACGATCTATACTGTCCTCTCTTGGTCACCACTCTCCCTATTACCTTTATCGTAATAACTATTCATGTATTGTGCCTTTGATTTCTTCCGTTTTTGTCTTTTGATGCGTTGTCGGCATGGCGACACTGAGACCTATTGGACCCTTAGGCTCCGGCGGATTATGCTCGCGAAATCATGGAATTATGCTTTCAAGGATTCTCGCATTATGCTCGTAAAATCCTCATATTATGCTTTGGCACACGGGGATATATATTCACTTTGTTGTACATGTACTTATGGAGCCTCAAAGTTCGGAAAATTGTGCCTTTTCGTACTTGCAAGTTGTAAGTGGCCATAAGTACAACAAAATACATGAGTATCCCCATATCAAGGTGTCCATGCATGTTATTGTTAGACATCAACATGGAAAGTGAAAACAGTATTTCTTCTATTCATCACTTGATTTCTTTTGCACTTGTTCATTTATTTATTTATTACAGCATCTCATAGCACAGTCAAAACACCGGCCAATGCAAAGAGAGAGGGTGTTAGCCAACCACGGCAAGGAAGGGAGAAGGGGAGGAGAAGAAAAAGGAACCGGCATGGATAAGTAGTGATTGCAACAAAATGAGAAACACAAAATCAAAGTCAAGGCGCGACAAGGCTCTGAAAAAGGCGGAGGGAAGAAAGGTCCTTAGCTTCTTGGGGAAGTGCCAGCCACGCAGAGTATGCAGTGAAAAAGGGAGAGTGAAGTAGGAAGGAGGACTTAGGTTTCGGAAGGGAAAGGGAGTTTCTCGTGCTACGGGAGGAGAACCAGTTGAAACAGTGGAGGTGAGGTGGACACAGATTTAGTTTGAGAGAATGGATAAGGGTGACAAGATGTGAATTACGTCTCTTAGACAAAGGGGTAGTGTCAGCAAGGGCATAAAGGGTGGAAGATGGGAGCATGCGGGGTTTAGGAGGAGGATTTTGAGAACTTTTTTGAGGTGAATTTCGAGCTTGGCAGCACGGGTTGTGGAAATTCCAGCCCAAGCAGTATCTGCATAATCAAAAATGGGGCGTAGGTAAGCTGAGTAAAAGAGGAGTTTACAAGAGATTGGGAGATGGTAACAGTGAGAAGAGAGGATTCCTAAAGATGAACTTGATCGTTTACATATATAATCGATGTGGGGTTCCCATGAAAGATTAGAGTCAATGAAAATGCCAAGATGCTTATGGCTGGAGACTATGTCTATAGGCTGGGGGAAAGTGGGATGGAGGAGGGGCGGAACATCGGGCTGAGAAGGAAAGAGCATGATTTTAGTTTTAGACAGATTGGGCGATAACCGCCAAGACGACATCCAGGAAATTACTATTTGAATCCCGTTAGCTAGGTTACTCATCAGGCCAGTAATGTTAGGAGATGCCCGTAGGAGCGTTGTGTCCTTTTGCGAACAGTGATGTGCCCGGGGCAGCTGCGGGCAGATCATTGACGTATAAGATAAAAAGAAGGGGGCCGAGGATGGAACCCTTGGGAACTCCGGATAGTGCTGTTGTGTCGGCTGAGGACGTCCCATGTACCGTGACGTACTGCGTTCGCCCAGTTAGGTAAGATGTCAGCCATAGCAGGGGATTGCCGTCTACAGTAATTGATCCACGAAGCTTGGCCAAAAGCCCCCGGTGCCAGACGGTATCGAAGGCCTTGGCAAGATCGAAAAAACAGATCCCGACTAGATCTCCAGCATCCCGATGTCGACACACTAATTGCACCAGGCGCGTCAGCTGGAGGTACTTCAGTAATCATATTATTTCATTGCTAAATTTTGAGTCACCTTTGAAAATTATCATGTTCAACTCACGGTCTTTGTAATCATCATATACTCGTCCAACCGATGTCACCCTCACCCTGCGAATAATCAGCTCATCTCTCACGTAGCTCCACTTCTCCTTCCATCATGACCGAACATCAACTATACATCAATTTCGAGCAATATCGATAGCCTGCAGTCATATCATGACTGCTAAAATCCAGAGGTCATGACTTCGTAACATGCATAATGTACATATGTACCGGTACATGTAAACGGAGTTTTGCGGACTACCCGCCACTATCTCGTCCGCCCCGGGATACCTGATGAAGGCTGATTCACTCGCATCTTCTGCTACATGTACTGTGTCAGTGTGAGAAAGAACTTTGAAGAAGACGAGTTCGAGCATACAATACTGTATTGCCATGATTTCTTCCCTGCTTTTCATTGAAAATACTATCTGCATGACCTCTGAACCCTTTACCATGCAGACCACCAGCACTGATCAGGTGCATTGTACACAATTGTGTAGCCTACATACTAGAACTGTGGTATAATCGTGTAGTTATGCTCCTACCTCCGAGAGGATGCCAAATTATGCTCCAAATTTTCAACCACCAAATTTTGCCAATAATTATGCCGGCATAATCCGCCGGTGCCTACTAGTGGTCTGTGGAGTGCATGTTGCCTCACCAGCACTGCTACTGTCTGTGGCTGTGGCGACCACCATTCAAGTCTTGTCCTCCCCAAACCTTCTCTCTCTCTCCCTCTCCCTCTCTTTCTCTCCCTCTCTCTCTCCCTCTCTCTCTCTCTCTCTCTCTCTCTCTCTCTCTCTCTCTCTCTCTCTCTCTCTCTCTCTCTCTCTCTCTCTCTCTCTCTCTCTCTCTCTCTCCTCTCTCTCTCTCTCTCTCTCCTCTCTTCTCTCTCTCTCTCTCTCTCTCTCTCTCTCTCTCTCTCTCTCTCTCTCTCTCTCTCTCTCTCTCTCTCTCTCTCTCTCTCTCTCTCTCTCTCTCTCTCTCTCTCTCTCTCTCTCTCTCTCTCTCTCTCTCTCTCTCTCTCTCTCTCTCTGTCTCTGTCTCTCTCTCTCTCTCTCTCTCTCTCTCTCTCTCTCTCTCTCTCCCTCTCTCTCTCTCTCTCTCTCTCTCTCTCTCTCTCTCTCTCTCTCTCTCTCTCTCTCTCTCTCTCTCTCTCTCTCTCTCTCTCTCTCTCTCTCTCTCTCTCTCTCTCTCTCTCTCTCTCTCTCTCTCTCTCTCTCTCACACACACACACACACACACACACACACTAACTTTCTCTCTCTCTCTCTCTCTCTCTCTCTCTCTCTCTCACACACACACACACACTAACTTTCTCTCTCTCTCTCTCTCTCTCTCTCTCTCTCTCTCTCTCTCTCTCTCTCTCTCTCTCTCTCTCTCTCTCTCTCTCACACACACACACACACACACACACACACACACACACACACTAACTTCTCTCTCTCTATTTCTCTTTCTCTCTCTTTTTTATCTGTTTGTCTTACTCTTTTTTCGTTGTTAGCTTTCCTGGTGGTTATGTGCTTTTCAAGTAAATAAAAAAAGTGGCATAAGATTTTGCAGACGGGGAAGAGTTACACGTGGAAAGCGAGCTTTCAGGCGAAAAAGATTTGGAGAAGTGTCGCATCCGGCAAGAAACACTAGTGTAGATGTAGTCATCAGCTAGGTGAAACACAAGAAGGATCCTACTGCTGAACTTATGGGCACTGCCGTGTCTTCTGTTGTCCCTGACGATAATTATCATAATCGAGCGTCGGGAAGACATGCGACGCGGAGGACACAGTGGAAGCTTTCCGCAAGCCTGGCATTATGGAGCAGTAACAGCATGAAAACTAGCTCTAATCTCTATGACACCAACTTGTTCAGTATTTCCTGTGCCATTTTAGCCATGTACGAAAAACTGCAAAACGTGCATACTAGGCCTTGACGGATTATGCTAATATTTTCGTGAAATTATGCTTTTCGCATTGCTGAAAAAATTGCAGAAGTATGCTATTTTTATGCTAAAAGTTATCATATTATGCTGCATTATGCTCACATATGCTGCTAATGTATGATGGTTCTGTGCAAAATAACAGGGGAATTTTTTTGTAGAGGGCGTTGTACTGTAGTAGCAAACGTTTAACGGGGTCAACGCACCGTCCGACCTTGCTACGACCATCACTGATTGTAGTGGACTGGACATGTTATCAAGGGAGTCGTAAACCTACAACTTCCTAGTGCATCCACTTGTACTTGTACTTGTAGAACATGTACAACTGTATGGAATTTGATGCGAACAGGCGGATTATTACAATTTTATGCGATTCGTATGCAATTTGCCTCGAATTATGCGATTATTCGATTTTGGTAGGATTTATGCGAAAAATTATGCTAGCATAATCCGTCAAGGCCTAGTGCATACGTGCATAAGGCTTTACAAACCAAACCATTTTTTACATACTGGCTGCTGGTGAATTGCTGGCATTATGGAGCAACAGCGGTTCCGCTGTAGATCCTGTTCTACTGAGTCTGTGGCTTTTTTTGTGTGATGGCATAGGTACTTCGAAGTACATGTACGTGGCAAATGCCAAGCTGAAGCCCCAAAAGCAAAATTGAGTTAAGGAGGTTCGCGACGGTTAGCGCCATGTTGGATTTCCGAATTTTTTTCTGAAAAATAATGCCTTTCGGTGTGGAAAAATGGGACGCGATCATGCACAGAAAATAGTTTGACCATGACTTCGCAGCGCGTGCTCGAGTCGAGACAAGACTTTTGAGGAAGAAGCTCAGCCACTAGTGGACTTGCGGATTTGTTTTGACATTGGCGGTTTTTGGATAGCTCGGTTCTCCTGCCGACGTGTCGTGGAGATAGATGAAGACGCGGGAGAGTAATCCGTCACCCACGACGCGGCCTCTCATTCTGCGTACTGAACGATGCAAGAAGCCGAGGAGGGGGACGCTTCGCAAACTCAAACGATCGATCGAGTTCCTGAAAAACGGAAAGGGCGATCTCCATCACTAACGCCACTGGATTCGACTCCCGCGAAGAGGTCGTTCAGTGCCCCTCTTCACGGTCGACGAATCGTTCATCTCAGGTATCTGGCTGTGGGATTGTCTGCGTGCCAGAATCCTGGATGTGGCAAACCTCTGGCGCTCATTGATTGCGTTGAAGAGAAGAGGTACGACCTGGGCAGCGACTTGTCATTCCGTGTCCGCAGCAGTGTGGGATGGAGAATTTTATAGATACAGATAGCCCTGTAACTGCTCAACACCCTGGCCCCCGTGCTTCCACAAGCAACACCAAAGCTGCTTTGGGTAAGTGCGTTTTTCAATGTCATAAGATTTATTCATGATATTTGCGAGTCATTGCCACTCTATGGCTATGGAAATGTTTGAGCACACTGTATGCGCGGCGGCCGCGAGCGTCTGTGTGTTTGCATAGACCTGCATGTTTGTGCATGTGTGCACCATACGCATGTATGAACATGCACATGCATATGCGCTCATGTGGACGTGCCCTCGCACACATCCTATACACACGTGCATGACCGCTCCCAGGGCATGTTGGTGTGACATGTGTATGCGGGCATCTCCACTCATGCACATGAGTGTGCACATGGATGTGGGTGGGTACGCACACGTGCGTGAATGTATGTGTGTGTGTACGCGCGTGTGTTCTATTGCGTGTGAGAGCATGCATGTGTGTGTGCGTGTGTGTGTGTGTGTGTGTGTATGTGTGCACGGATGTGTGTGTCGATGGTGTGAATTTTGTGATTGGTGAACACTCTGATCCCTAAATCGCGATACCGGAGCTCCCAAGCTACAGCCTCAGATTGATTTATAGTTCATCGTTGGGAATGAGTTCGCTGCTCATGATGCTGTTGCGGATGTTGCGGCCCTAGCTGAAATTGTCGAAGCTCGCCCTGATGCCAGTATCCTGTAGCACTCTGTCACTTTTGCGTCAGCATGTTCGGCGATGGAGTTTGCAGAACATCAGCAAAAGCGGCTGGCCACCCTTCAACCGTTGGTCCAAGCAACGTGCTTCTCTAAATCAGTTGCAGTGCGGGCAGCTGCCAGTGGGTTGGTGATGAAGCACTTTGTCTTGTCCTACAAACGAAGTGGTGAGCCAGCCATTTCCAGACTGATGAAGGAGCAAGTCGGAGGTAAGAAGCGGGTGACAGTCTCAAGGAAGATTATATTAGTGGTGGCTGAACACCTAGCGAAGAACCAGCAGCAACCCAACTGTAAGGAACGCCCTGTGGCACAGTGCTTCACTTGTTTGTGCGCACCGTAAAATACCATCATTTTTGCCAGTGTGGGGACACGTTCTAGCTCACATAGTTGAAGAACAAGAGGACTCAATGTTGTCTGATTCGTTCCAACATGTCAGCTTTCATTGTAGTTTGATATGGGACAGTGCTAAGCGCTATCATAGCTACATGTACATGTATCCAGGGCCTGCTGGAGAGCCGGGTCAGCCGGGTCACGCGCCCGGCTGGGGAACTGCACGACCTGGCTGAACAGATAACACCGGGTCCAGTCTGACCCGGCTGAAAAATGTCTCAAACTGACAATGGATTCCTAAAATACCGGTATTTTACGACTCGCGGACCCCATCTGTTGCAAATCTAGCGCAACCGTACACACTACAGTCTACCAGGTCTACAAGCGACAGAAACTCGGCTAGGGTCAACTGGGGTCAACTGGGGTCAACTGGTTCGAGCGCGATCTGGCCAGCGGCGAGCAGGAAGTCAGGACATTCAAAGTCGATGGGGCAGGTACTGTAAAAGCAGAAATTTTCGGTGGTGTAATATTTTCGGTATTCGCCAAAATCGGCGGTTCGGTAGCGGGAAATTTTCGGTAAAACCCGTTCTCCAGGTAGGTGTACTAGTACTACATGTATACAGTATCGGTTGTACCGAAAATTTCGGTGCGTTTTATTTTCGGTAAAAATTGTCGGCACCGAAGTTACCGAAAATAAAACACCACCGAAAATTTCTGCTTTTACAGTAGTCAAAAGCGTAACTTTGGCTATAGCTTTTGACACAGTTGCAAGTTTTCAGCCGACTGGTGATTTGGACGATGGAGCCCGCAGCTAAGAGAAAAAGAACTCACGCTTTCCAAGACTCTTGGAAGAAAGGTCGACCCTGGCTGGATCCCATGGATTACGATCATGCCAGTCTATACATGTCGTGCGCTTTGTGCAAGACGCAAAGGAAGACGAGCGGCGGTGGATTTGGTCGCGATGTTCTCTAAAATTTCCGATTTCCGGTAATAAATTCGCCTTTCTATTTTCCTGCATTTTGAGCAGGCTTTTTGTTGTTTTTCTGCCGGATGATCTGACCCGGCTTGACCCGGCTGGCCTGCAGGCGCCAGGTACACTCTGACCGGGCTGTGTTGAATGTCTAGAGCAGGCCCTGGTATCACAACCAAGTGCCAACAGGAGAGTAATCATGGAGAAAAATACCTATCGATAATGCGTGCACCCAGGGTTTTCCGGCAAATTTACTAGTTCAGCTATTCCATCCTTGTATTTTTCTGAACGCCGAGGGCTCTAGTGAGTTTATGCAACACCTAACAGCCAAAAATCCAATAAGTTATGACCAAAGCAGCAGCAGAGAAGTACAAGCAATATAGATACGTGAATTTACCAATTTTAGGCAAATTTTGACAGTTTTTTGGATTTTTCTCCAGAATATGCACGGTGACCCCTATTTTCGCCGCGGTAAACCTGTTCCAACCCACTTATAGAACGTATTTGAAGTATCCACATATGGGGCAAACTCAAAAATAAGCTGCAAAAAATATTCAAAGTTTCATTTTTTGCGTCTTTTTGCTCTTCTCCAGGAAATGACTACCTGGATCCCATCGTCAACCAAAGTGTACATTTTTCGGTGTTGATATCATCTTAGTCAATACCTCGAACAGACTGTAAAATTTTATGTCATATTTTCTCTCCTAACTGATGTTATGGACGATTTCTCATCAATTTTGGGATTTTGTGTATTTTGTGTCATCAAGGAAAATTGTGTTTTTGGCAGGACCTATTCGGGCAATTGAAAAACTGATGCTACTAAGCGAAAATATAAGGCTGTACCTATTCAAACCTGATGTCAGATTGGGCTGATGTTGAAATTAAATTTTTGGGCCTAACTGTCCCGAACCCCCTTAAATACACATGTACAATCATGTACAGTACGTACATGACAGTGAACTCACTGCATGCTGGGGTGTTCAGGTGGACCCACTGCATGCTGGGGTGTTCAGGTGGACCCACTGCATGCTGGGGTGTTCAGGTGGACCCACTGCATGCTGGGGTGTTCAGGTGGACCCACTGCATGCTGGGGTGTTCAGGTGGACCCACTGCATGCTGGGGTGTTCAGGTGGACCCACTGCATGCTGGGGTGTTCAGGTGGACCCACTGCATGCTGGGGTGTTCAGGTGAACTCACTGCATGCTGGGGTGTTCAGGTGGACCCACTGCATGCTGGGGTGTTCAGGTGGACCCACTGCATGCTGGGGTGTTCAGGTGAACTCACTGCATGCTGGGGTGTTCAGGTGGACCCACTGCATGCTGGGGTGTTCAGGTGGACCCACTGCATGCTGGGGTGTTCAGGTGGACCCACTGCATGCTGGGGTGTTCAGGTGAACTCACTGCATGCTGGGGTGTTCAGGTGGACCCACTGCATGCTGGGGTGTTCAGGTGGACCCACTGCATGCTGGGGTGTTCAGGTGAACTCACTGCATGCTGGGGTGTTCAGGTGGACCCACTGCATGCTGGGGTGTTCAGGTGAACTCACTGCATGCTGGGGTGTTCAGGTTGACCCACTGCATGCTGGGGTGTTCAGGTGGACCCACTGCATGCTGGGGTGTTCAGGTGGACCCACTGCATGCTGGGGTGTTCAGGTGAACTCACTGCATGCTGGGGTGTTCAGGTGGACCCACTGCATGCTGGGGTGTTCAGGTGGACCCACTGCATGCTGGGGTGTTCAGGTGAACTCACTGCATGCTGGGGTGTTCAGGTGGACCCACTGCATGCTGGGGTGTTCAGGTGAACTCACTGCATGCTGGGGTGTTCAGGTGGACCCACTGCATGCTGGGGGTGTTCAGGTGGACCCACTGCATGCTGGGGTGTTCAGGTGGACCCACTGCATGCTGGGGTGTTCAGGTGGACCCACTGCATGCTGGGGTGTTCAGGTGGACCCACTGCATGCTGGGGTGTTCAGGTGGACCCACTGCATGCTGGGGTGTTCAGGTGGACCCACTGTATGGTATCATACTTTACACAATCATCACCGAAGCACAGCACTCAATGCCAAGTCAAAATTTATAGTATTGAGCAAGGCAAGTCTCCAATACATCCTAGAAACTAGGTCGTGGCAGACGCACAACTGACATGAATGAAGTACATGTATGTAAATTTAGAGTGGAAGGTGAAGCTTGGAACAAAAAATCAACCACAAAATAGTAATGCCACATGAGTTCCAAACAATCCAAATCAGATGATATCAGATAGACTCAGTGTCACCCACCCTGGGCAATAAGCGTGAACAGTGAGAAGTTCCAGGCAGGTCGGATCACAGTAGTGCATGTAACATCAGCTGTATAATTGCCCGACGACATGCCTCATGTCACTTTGCCTTCCAACAGAATCACACAAATCCTAGCAGTAGTCCACTGATGAAAACTGGTGTGAAAATATCCTTCCCGGATTGATATACAAGTAGGTACATTAACGCGTGGAAACAGGAGGTGGAAGGATGGTTTGGGGTGGTGGGTGGAGGTGGGGAGGGGGGAAGGGGGAAGGGGGAGGGGGTTCTGTACTACCCTGTACAGGTACAGGCGTCGCCAAAAGAACTCCGGTCGATACCATGGTTACAGTGGTATGGTAGATCTGTACGTGTTCACCGGCGATACTGCACCGTGGCATGCATGCACGTCAGTAGCAGCACAGCACTGAACAGTCTGCGCTGCACTCTGCTGCCTGCTGCAGTCGGGTCGAGCACTGCATAGCTGAGTGTATCAGGTGTACGCAGGCCTGGCAGCGGGGCATTTGCCGTGTGCTAGGCTAGTAGTGCTAGCACTAGTAGCAGTGGCAGTACATGCGGCCCATGCACCGTACAGCTACCGGTAGCTAGCATGGCATTGACCAGATTCTTTCGGCGACGGCTGTACCGATCAATACTTTGGTGCACTCGTGGATGTACATGGTACTAAATAACAGTTGAAATCGCCGGGTACATCCATCCAAGAAGTCAGGACACTGCCACCTGATAGCAATAGCTGTAGCCAAGGCAACGTAAACTGTTTACCACGTAATGCCCTACACAAGAGTAATTTCATCTCCCGCATTGCTGAGTGCGACAATCCAGTACAGGTTACCTGTGACGTTGGGGATGGTTTCTGTGACGCCCGTTCTCTCGTGTCTACCAGTGAGTGTGTGACGATCATGATCAACTGTGAGATGAATGATGTCACCAGTTTGCCAGGGTTGACCAAGGGCTGTTCCGGTGTGGTAGTTAGCAGCATCATAGCCATGCCAACCAAAACACTGTGCCTTGTCCTGTTGGTAACATTCCAGTTTCGGACTACTGGATGAACAGGTAGAGAGAAAGATGTAACCATTGGAGGTCTTGTCAATCCTCACCTTCAGTCTACTGCTACCAGCATTAGTGACCATCAGTGTGGTACATGCTGATGACCAACCTTGCCTGGTACTACTCAGTGAGTAACCATCATTTGTGATATTCACCCGCCTCCCGCGGCGAGTTCCATCAAACTTCGGAGGAACGTTGGCAGACACCACCAACTTCTGGGGACTACATTTTAGATGAACACAGCCAATCTTGGCGGAGATGTTGAAGCAACCAGCTTGCAACGGCCCATATTCAGTATGTAGCTGCGTACTCACGATGGACATGTCCTTGTTCAGACCGGATATTGATATCTTCAGTCCAATGTTGTCCAGTTGCTCTTGCTCAACGGTGCTTGAGACATTGCCTGGTAGCTCTATAGAGATGCTCAAATGGTCATTGACACTGGCTTGGTCGCGGCACTTCAATGCACCATCGGCAATATCCAGCACTGCTCCCGTCTTGCTTATGTCATTGAGTAGGGATGTGGTGTCCGTCGTGCCAAACACAATGCCGCTGGTAACACATGGCTCTTTCTTGTCCTCGGCAGCTTCCATGGTCTTGCTGATAGATGCATCCACCCAGGACCACACACGGAGAAGCTCAATGTCGTCCTCAAACGACTGCAGAATGCTGGCAGCACTCTCTCCTTTCGACACACACTCCTGAAGTTGATGTAGTTGCTTCTCCAGAGGTTCCAGTTTCTTCAACCTTAGCTGATCCAGCTCGGCTAGAAGACAGTATTCACGTTTCTTCACAGCTTCAATCAGTGGCTTGAAGAAACCAGATACCTTCTCTGAAGCGTGCTCTGTTTGACTGTGTACCATTCGAATGCTCTTCTCAACGGTCTCTATGGCACTGCAGACAACACCATCACATTCTGATGTACAACTGCGCAGCTTTGTGGAAAGTGTGTCACGAGTGTTTTGTGCAGCACTGGCAATATCCATCACCTTGTGTTTATCATGTCCGTGCGCTCCAGTATATATGCAATGTGTACACAATAGCTGATTGCAATCCAAGCAAAACTGTTTCAGCACTTCATTCGTGTGAAGAGCACATCTATGCTGGACCACTCTGCCACTGCTGCTGCCACTGAGGATTGCTGGCTCTGTGCTGGAGTCAGACAACATCTTGATTGTGTGTCCTTTACCTGATTTAGACAAAGGATGTACAGCAGCGTGTTGCTCACAGAATTTGACGCTGCAATTCTCACAAACCACTGTAGCTGGCTTTCCATCCCAGCATTCGTCACAAGTTTGAATGGCCTGATCCCGGCCTGCAGCCGCTCCAGTCATCGTATCGCTTGCTTGAACGACATTCGGTAGCGATCGTAACGGCTCTGTACCAACAGGCAATTGCGTAGCGGACAAACATTGTGGACACTTTATGCAGCCATCAAATCCCAAGCTGTTCTGCAGGCACGGCACACACAGTGCGTGCAAACACGAAACAAATTTTAGGGTGGTCGTGGACGATCCACAACCACCGCACGGCACCACGGACGACATTATTACCCGTGTAGCCAGTGAAGGACCTCAATCTTGGGATAAACTGAAGGACCCACAATTCAGTGTAGTCAGTAGATCTGGTAGATCTACGAGTTGCAAGTATGTAATAAGGAGTTTTGTCAGTTTCATGCGCTGCCTGAGTAAGTACGTTCGAGTTGAGAGCAAAATCTGTGAAACCGTGTAGCAGGAAATTTTCGGACGGAATCTACGTACAATAATTATGGTAGATCTACACCGACTAAAATTATTTTACGAAAATAAAATCCGCACGAAAGAGCGAAATTCAGCTTTGTCCGAAAATTCCCTGCCATACAGTACCTGGATTTCATTCCTATACATGTACAGTCAACTTCGCTCATAACGACACTCGGCGGGGCATCAAAAAGGTGTCCTTATTCGCGAAGTGTCGTTATACCCGAAGTCTCATTATATGTATTACAGTCGGATGGGACTTTGCTCTGGGCATGGAAATTCTGTCGTTATTCGCGAATTGTCGTTATATCCGCAGTCGTTATAAGCGAAGTTGACTGTACGTGTATTTTAGACTGGTGACCATGTCCAGATGCACATGCTGCTTGCATAGCTCGACTTGTCAGGGGTTCAAGGGCTGATTATTCCCTGACCTGGGGGATTGAAGAATAATCCCCCTATACTAGTACTACTAGGTCAGGGGAAAGAGCCCAAGACTTAACCGTCACTTTGGACTGCTCTCTGACTCACTACACCTAGCGAGAGCAGGCCAAAACATACTCAACCAATGAACACACTGTGCGGCTTTATTCTTTCACGGTTCGTGTCAGACTCGGCTGAAGGCTCATCCGTTGCAGCGCTACCACCCTTCAAGGATCAAGTCGCAGATGCAGCTCCGGGAAGTGAGGAGGATCAGACCCACCAGCCTCGGAATGGTCAAAGACCGAAAATCCCATTCAGTGCATCCATGAAAAAA